TTCATTACCTTTTGAAACTTAAAAGGGTTCAATTTGAGCAGATGATTTTACCATCGCTGTCATCGTCAGAGCGCACTTCCACAGTACATTCAGCATCTGGCTCATATTCACGATCTCAGCCATATTCTCAAAACTATCGTTTTCAGTGACTTCATATTCAATATGTTGATCACTGGCAGCTTATTCAGCTTATTCAGCATCAAATGACAGTGACATTTATATTTAATTGTGTATAGTAACTGCTCTGCAGTAAAGCCAGTAAAGCCAGTTTGATTTTTGCTGATGATATTCGTTTGTTTTATGCCTGCTGTAATTATCAGTGAAACATCACGTCATCATTGTGTATCAAACAGTGAAAAAAGATGCATGGCACATATTGAGTCATCAGATACGTAAATATAGTTGCGCAGGAAAAAATATTTACACATTTACATACCTCGGGTGTCTAGCGACCCTATGCACTTTTTTTTTACAAAAAATTAATCAGAAAACTGGCATAATTTTATATTTTACAATTTTTTTCTTGTTATATTGTTTATAATTAATAGATTGAGGAATACTAAGAAAGTTGATGTCTAACTTAAAAAAATGAAGGAGGGAGAGGGTAGAGAATGATGTCCCAGGTCGCTAAAGACCCGAGGTATGCATTTAAGGGTTAAATAAAAGAAAGTGGAATTAAAATAAATGGAAATTCACATAATTGTAATTTTAAACTTTGTTTTTCTAGTAGTTTACCCAAAAAAAAAAAAAAACCTCATGTTGTTTCAAACCTGTATACTTTTCTCTTTCAACTGGGTCTAATGTTGTTTTGGACCCCAGTGACTTTTATTAAATCATTCTTCAAAATATCTTCTTTTATGTTAAACAGAAGAAAGAAAGTCATACAGGTTTGTATCATCATGAGCATGGTAAATGATGACAGTTTGAATTTTTGAGTGAACTATCATTTTAACTAGAAAAGCATATATTTTTAATAAAATTAATAGGGTATGAAGAACACTTCATTTTCCAGCAGAATTATTAAATTGCAACTTCAGAAATTCATCACAGGTAAAGTCATTCCAATTAGGGCTGCACGATAAATCGCATGCGATATTTAATGCGCATCTTGTCAGTAAAGCCGTTTCTGTAATCAGCGGTAAATCTCCATCACGTGTGTGCTTTCACATGAAGCAGCATTTACTACACAGAGCCGTTGTTCACTGACAAGTTGCGCAAAACCACGATCATATATGAATGTGATGTAGATTTACCGCTGATTACAGAAGCGGCTTTACTGACAAGATGCGCATTGAATATCGCATGCGATTTATCGTGCAGCCCTAATTCCAATTCAACGTCCTTTGCAGTGTGGCATGGTGACACAGTAACTCAAATATGAACTCAAACATGGTTTGAGCCAACAAAAAAAAGAAGAGGCATTTATTTGCTCATGGTTGAAGGAATTTCTTAAAGTGACCATTCGCCCAAAAAGTCCGTCATGATTTAAGGCTGTAATACACTACACAACTTTTAAAATCTGAACAGATTTTTAAAACACCAGACATCATACACTTACCGACTTCATAAATAGTCACAAAGGAAAACTGGGCATCATACACTAAACAACTGAGGATCATACTACAGACTTTAAAGTTGTTCTGATCACAACAAACTCACACAGAAACGTGTGCATTGTTGCTAGGAGACATGTGACAAATGAAAACAACGTGTTCTAAAATCGGCTAAGAATATCAAACATCCATGACTGGATGGAAGTCTCATAGTCTATAGCAGTCTGTGACAATCATACACTATTCGATTTTCTGTGGAATCTGTCAATCCTAATCTGCAGACTGGCTCTGACCTTCGTCAACTTATTCAGACTGTAAATCGGGGGAAAATCAGGGCAAAAATAGTGTAGGGTATTCTAGACTATACTCAAACCCGGTCATTCCAAACTTATATTTGACTATTTTTTTCTTCCTATATTGTTTATAATGAATATATTGAGGAATAATAAGAAATTTGATGTCTAACTTTAAAAAATGAAGGAGGGAGAGGGTAGAGAATGATGTCCCGGGTCGCTAAAGACCCGAGGTATGCATTTAAGGGTTAAAACATGCTAAATCATGCAAGAAATGCATAGCAACCTGTAAGCAATTCCTAGCATATTAACCCTTAAATGCAAATCATTATTACATATTCGGGTCTTTAGTGACTCGGACCAATATATCCAGCACGGATGGATCTCTAACTGCTGCAATAGCAAAAAACTCTCTTGATATTTTAAGAACAATTACAAAAGAATAAAATGAAGCATATATCGTTACCTTTTGAAACTTAAAAGGGTTCAGTTTGAGCAGATGATTTTACCATCGTTGTCATCGTCATCATATTCAATATGTTGATCACTGGCAGCTTATTCACCACATCCGGCATCAAATGACAGTGACATTTATATTTAATTGTGTATAGTAACTGCTCTGCAGTAAAGCCATTCAAACCAGTTTGATTTTTGCTGATGATATTCGTTTGTTTTATGCCTGCTGTAATTATCAGTGAAACGTCACGTCATCATTGTGTATCAAACAGTGAAAAAAGATGCATGGCACATATTGAGTCATCAGATACGTAAATATAGTTGCGCAGGAAAAAATATTTACACATTTACATACCTCGGGTCTCTAGCGACCCTATACACTTTTTACAAAAAAATTATCTGAAAACTGGCATTCTTTTATATTTTACTATTTTTTCTTATTATATTGTTTATAATTAATAGATTGAGGAATACTAAGAAAGTTGATGTCTAACTTAAAAAAAATGAAAGAGGGAAAGGGTAGAGAATGATGTCCCGGGTCGCTAAAGACCCGAGGTACTGTATGCATTTAAGGGTTAAGCATGTTTAATATATTAAGAACATGCTAAAACAACATACACACAAATTCTAGCAAACTGCGTACGAAAACTTAGGCAGCTGAGCTGGCAGCAACATCCACGCATGTTAGCAGCATTATAGCTATGCCCAGCAACATGCTAGAATGTTAACAACATGGTAACAATGACTCAGAACATGGTAAAGTATGTCAGCAATGTGGTAACAATGCCTGTTAAACATTAGTAATTAACAGTGCCCATGCAACATGCTGACGCATTCTAACAACGTGTGCTAACAATACCCCTGAGCATGTGAAATCATACTTGCAGCTTGTTAACAATGACTAGGAATATGCTAAACACACCTAGCAACACACTAAAATGTTAATGAATGATAGCAACTTGCACAAACAAACAAAAAAAATAAGCCAACAACTTCTCAGGCAGTGTTTGCGTCCGAAGGTACCTCCTGAAACTAAATTTGGACAGGCTTCTAAGGCTACATAACAGTTTAATGACCTACAACAAATTAATTAAGTTGTTCAGGACTGATAGACATTTACCAAAAGTCCAATGCACAACAGCAATATTTTCAATCTTTGTTTTTTTTTTCCGTTTCTACCTACTTACCTACTTAAATAAAATGTATTTAAAACTCTCTCATGACCTTACGCAAATGACCTATTATTTACCTTTTATAATTTAAACTTCCAAATATTTAATGCACTTGCTTGAATTGAATTATGATGAAAGATGTATACTCTTTAATTTGAATAATGTTTTATAATCACTTTCAAGCCTGGGTAATCCCAGATCATCATGCATCAAGTTTTTGTATATTTTCCTTATTGTGCAGCTCACATTTCATTTTGCTATTTATATTGTCATGTTGCACACATTGCACTTTAAGTGTACATGGTTTTGCATATTTTGCCTGATCCCATGAATTTTTCCTTAAGTTCATTATGCTTTCAGACAGTGCTAAGCCATGCTAAAGACAATGAACGTACTTTGTTGATAAACACTCTCTACCTTGCCGTCACTTTGTTTCTTAGCTGAAGATGATATTTGACAGACTGCCTGTTCCATGGCGACTTTAATTGAAAGTAATATATTCTGTGCTGTCATACATGCTAAATACACAAAGAAAGAATGGGATAAAGACAAGACAGCTGTCTGCATTTTAAAGTCAGATTGAAGCAACACAACAGCCTGTATTGAGAGAAAGCACAATGCTTTACATAAACACAGTCAAAACATTAAGGTATATTCATATGCTGTATAAGACAAAAAGCAGCACAACATTTTAATTGGATAATTGCAGTCATTGCAAAGCAGTGCTATATTGATAGTCTACAAAGAGTTTAATAACAGTTTGTCCTCCTAACCCCCTTACACAAAATGGTCTGACTACAGCATTTATCTAAAGTTAGATGTATCTGATGAGTATAACGCATTGATAAATATTGTACCACACTAAATTAAGTTATGCAGTTCTGTAGTTTATGGTTATGATTAATTAAAGATTAAGGCATTAAAAGTGTAATTAATCTCAAATAAATGAATAAACCATTCATGAACGTCCTGTAATCGGTTCTCTTTAGGTTATTAAGAAGAAGAAAAAACAACTTTTGGGAATTTTAGGGGTCTTTTCTTTATTTTCTGTGTTCTGTGAAAATATTACCTGTTTAGCTCCTTCTCTTGTTCAAATAATAATAATAATAATAATAGTAAATAAATAAATGCCCTGTAAATTTCTTTGTAGTTTACTTTGTAATGCTCATTTTGTTCCTTTTTATATCAGCTTGTCCAGTGTTACATATTAAGGGAGTATTAATAACGTTTTTCACACAGCATATTATGGTGTTTGAGTGGTATCGATGTTTGCTTTGGCTTTACTTTTTGAACACTAATCGCACTGATTAACTGAAAAGTTTAGCCTTTTTTTTTTTTTTTTTTTGCATAGTGACCAACCTAATGATAAACATTACTAGGTCTAGTATTGTTTATTTTATCCATCCAGCAGATATATATGCTTTTTCTCTCATCTTTCTTCAAGCCATCTCTTTAATGTCAGGTAGCTCATTTACTCCCGCCACAAACAGCTTACATTGATTTATTCTATATTTGTGTCTCTATAGGCTGTGGAGACTAACCTGGCCTCTAAAGACAGTCACTGGGTGTTTGTGAATGAGGTAAGGAAAGATCTTATTTATGTTCATCTGCTTTCTTCTATTAACTGCACTCTAATTCAGTCTTAATTTTTTATGTCATTTGTGTTTGCATGCAGTAATAGATTATTTCTGCTCGTGGCAGCCTGCAATTTACTATGTATTTTCTGTCTTGTGTGAAAATATTACCAGTTTACCCTTGTTCAGAAAATTTGCTTCCCTCCCTGTAACTCGTTGTAGTTTGTATCCCTAATTGTAATAATTGTAATAGTTGTAATAATGCTTGATGTGTTCCTTTTTATATTAGCTTTTTCAATATTACATATTAAGGAAATATTAATAAAGTTCTTCAGATATGGCATACTATCGTGTTGAGTGGTATCGTTGTTTGCTTTGGTTTTTGAACACTGCTTGCATTGATGCTTGCCTTTAGAAAATACTTTGGAAGGCCTTTTAGTCCAGAGCTACATAAAAGTTTGACTGAAATGTTTAGACTAAAAGATCAGTTTTTTGGTGCACAGTCAGTGGTAAGTACTAAAAGATTTTATTTTATGTTTTTATTTCCAGCCTAGAGATGAACATTACTAGTTAGGTCTGGTATTGCTTATCGTGTCCATCAAGTAGATATGGGTGCTTTCTTTTTACTCTCACCTTTCTTCAAGCCATCTTTTCAATGTTAGGTAGCTCATTTACTCCTGCCACAAACAGCTCACATTGATTTATTCTATATTTGTGTCTCTATAGGCCGTGGAGACTAACCTGGCCTCTAAAGACAGTCACTGGGTGTTTGTGAATGAGGTAAGGAAAGATCTTATTTATGTTCATCTGCTTTCTTCTATTAACTGCACTCTAATTCAGTCTTAATTTTTTATGTCATTTGTGTTTGCATGCAGTAATAGATTATTTCTGCTCGTGGCAGCCTGCAATTTACTACAATAAAAATTTGCATGAAACAATTTCCAATCTCTACAATTGGTTCTGAGTACTAGGTTGTAACAGTTTCAACAGATGCAAGTTTTACCGTTACTGGGTTCTGGCAGGCTTAATACTTATTTGTACTTGACACCTTTCAGCAGAAAAAGGAAAAAAGGGGAAAAAAAAACTAAAGGAAAGGAAAAAAGAAAGGAAAAAAGAAACTTTTCCATATCAGCATTTATTAGATAAACAATAAACAAATAACAATTCAGTCCATAAGGCAAGTGAAGAGGTATTGGATAAATCCCAATAATCCATAGCGACACACAAAACGGCAGACCAACAACAAAAATAAAATAAAATAAAATAAATAAATAAATAAACAGTCTCACTCACATCAACTACTCTGGACTACTGGGTTCTACAAACGCACAAAAAGTAATCCATATGTGATCCTAGAAGGAGTAAATAACAGCATAATTCACTGAAAAACATATAAAGCGATGCAAAAGAAAAAGAAAAGTTGCTTATAGTCCACTGTTTTGCTACAGGAGAGAGCGTGCCACACCCCTGAGGCACTCACCACAAAATGGCCACTCTCTGCCTTATATCAGCAAGTTCATTTACACAATAAAAGTACTTCTTGCTCAATTGAAACAGACATCACGCCTTATTTCAACAAAAAAGTCCCCTCATAAAATCATAAAATGTGTGTGGTAATTGTAGCAAATGTAACCCTACAAATCACGTATAGCTTGAAATAAGTATTTGTATTTCATTTAATAATTTGATGAAATTAAAAAAAAAATGTTGAGGTGACATAATACTGCAATTGCAAAGCATAATCTAAATTTAGAATTAACAAAAAAAATTAAAATAAAATAAGATAAAATAAAATAAAATAATAATACAGTATGATTCTGTTCTGGAGATGAGATGGGCACAAGCAGGGTGCGATTTGTATCATGCAATGTTGGCTGATGGATCGTCAGAGAATCGTCTTTCTGCGAGTCATTAAGAAATTATGGGTCTATTCTATTTAAAGAAATATAAGATAAACTTGTGAATACATAATGTGCGCACGTTTGGAGTAAAAATGTGCATGTTGTGTAGCGAAGCACTGATCAAAAATAAATGGAGACAAACACGATTGAATATGTACAGTGTCTAGTTATTCTGATCAAAATATCATTAACTCCCGATTGATTTTGCATTCCTGGCAGAAATGAGAACTATTAGTGTCATTGTAAACAAGTATTATCATAAATAGTTGTCAAATATCTAAGCTATAATATAGGTAAAATCTGAATATTTATTGTAAAAAAAAAAAATGGTTTAGTAATAGCAGTCATAAGTAATCTATATATGTATTGCTGTGATTTGTGATATATTTTAAAGGAAGAAAAAAAAAGATTTTTTTGTTTTGTTTTGTTTTTTTTCTTTCAAAACATCCCCCTTTCTGGTTTGTTCACAAATCGCATCCTGGGCACAAGAGGGGAAAAAAAGGCATTTACTTAAATTGTATCGATGATACTGTCTATAAATATTTAGTTTCCCATATTTTATTTCAATATATGTCATAATAACAGTACTATGAAATCAAATTTATGTTTTCATTCAATTATTCTGTAGAGCTTAAGTAATAGCAAATATGCCTAAAATGTATTGTCTGACCCATGGAATTATTGAACAACAACATGAAAAATAAACAAACATCAGTCCACCAATCCCTCATTAACAAATACACACAAAAAATATATATTTAATTAATACAGGTGCATCTCAATAAATTAGAATGTCGTGGAAAAGTTCATTTATTTCAGTAATTCAACTCAAATTGTGAAATATATATTCAACATAGCAGAGTGTCACAGACAACTAATTTCCAGAGACATGAAATTAGATAAATTAACTTAAAAGCTGTTTCAACTTATTAAATCTCACAAATGTTGATATTCAGATGACATGACAAAATTAAAGATCATAGCCATCCATTCAATGTGTTGCGGAAAGAGATTCTGTCATGTATGGTCAAGAGAAAACAGCATTATAACAGTTTTATTATAATTTTATAACCATTTTATGGTGTGTATTTTTGTGATTGTCAAAAAGCCATAATTGTCAGTAGACCACATTAGTACATCAGCTTATTTTTTTGTGAATGCTATCACGTTTGCATGAATCTGTAGTAAGTCAATGTGTTTGTTTATTGTGTGATATAGTTGATTGTATAATCATTATATAGTCATATAATGCAGTATCATGAATAATGGACGCCTGGACATAAAGGCAAACTAATAAAATAGTGTAGCAAGAGGTTAGTATGACTTAGAAATGGTGGTGGATCAAATCAGCATAATAATGATGATGAAATGATGCAATTTTATTCAACCTACTGAGAAAAGGCCGGTTTAAAATGCTGTGTCCGTAATGACATAAACAGAGGCGTGTAATACAGCAGATCGCCCCTCCTGGGGAGAAGCATTCCCACGTATTGCAGCCATTATAACCAGCACAAAAACATTCAACAATCATCTTTGATGCATGTTAAAAGCAAATTACACAAAGGCAGATGGTGTTTAATCGATCAAATGTGATTGAAATTTCTGTAAGTCAATCTGTGAGTTGTGGAAGGCCCAGATTTTGTTTAAGTTAATTGTGAAGGATGATGCCTTCCTGTTAAACATGCTGTGAAGCACCACATGTTGCTGTTAAATATTAACGTCTCCTCCTGCTGACTACACAATGCATAGGTGTGACTGAATTTGAATAAGGAGACACTAAGTAATATTGTCTACTTCTTTCCCATTGCCACTCATCTGACAAGCAGTGAGACTAAAACTTCAAATAATTAATTTCCTTATAAATATTCTCTTCTGTTGCTCTGCAGTGATAGCAGTTGACCTTAAAAAGAGCTAACGGAGCTGTGTGCGTAGAGCACATTTATCTCAGCAATCATACAGTATATGATGCTTTTTTAAAATGTATTTATGTTGGAGCCAAGAACAAAATCTGTCATAATCTTCCTTCCTCACCTGTCTAAAGTGGACATCGTTTTTCTCATTAGCCGAACAGTAGTTTTTGCAGTGAACATGGGGTTTTAATGATACACTACCTTATGCCTTAACTTACTTTTTGGTTTTGTGATGTTACAATAAGCTATTCATGATATAAAAACACATGAACATGAAAAATAAATTATAATGTTTTTAAATGACTTACTAGGATACCAAAGCATAATCTAGTTAACCTGAATAAGTTCAGCAGTTCTATTACAGTTGCAACTGCCATTGTGTGTGTACACTCAAACACAGTAGAGCCATATAGGCCATATTTATATTGCATTGTTCAAGTGATCCAGAAGATGTAAAAAAAAATCAGATATAGTATACAAATTGGAAATGGGCGTCAAGAACTGCAGTGTAAATACAGGCATAATCACCTTTACCGATTAAGTCATAATAATACAGGTGCTTATTACTATCACTGTTACTTTCAGTGATGCTTCTACACATTGAATGACTAATGGATATTGATAGGTATTAGTCACTTGTGACTAATTTTTTTTATTTTATTTCCTTTCGAGTTATAGTGTCAGACACACTTGAGAGCTCTGTCTGGTTTAGAAAGTTAATTTATGGAGTGGTTTGTGGATCAGTGCTGACTCGGGATTCAGTTTCAAACAATTCAGTCCGACTGGGTTCACCCTGTTTACTGACAAGAAATGGTTCAAAATAACAATTTGTTCATGAATCAGACATCACTACTGGCCAGAATAGTCATAACATTGACCATGTTTTACTTTTATTTTGTACTTTCTGAGCTTGATGATCATTATTCCACACATTTCCACAAGTGCAAATGACTTGACGTTTATTAATTCCATTCATCACAATCTCCCAGTGGCCAATATTATTTTATTTTGAATTAGCCACCAATTCATATGAATACCTTTTTTATAGAAATAATATATACTTTTAGAAATGCATACAAAGAATTAAATGCATCTGGATCAGATACTATTGAAAGCAATGGGGTTCCCTGCACGAAGGAAAATCACGCTAAAGGGGTATCTAGTGTGCTAAAAAAAATGACTCCAAGGCAGGGCC